CCTTGGGGGGCCCCCCTTATTTAAGGGCCCCCCTGGGGGGCCCCGCCATACTTAAGGGCCCCCTTGGGGGACCTTCCATATTTAGGGGCCCCCCTGGGGGGCCCCCGTTTTTTAAGGGCCCCTCTGTTGGGGCCTCCCTTGTTTTAAGGGGCCCCTCTGAGGGGGCCCCCCTTATTTACGGGGCCCCCCTGGGGGCCCCCTTATTTAGGGGCCCCTCTGAGGGCCGCCTCCAAGAGGGCCCCCCCTGGGCCTCCCCGCGTATTTAAGGGCCCCCCTGTGGGGCCCCCCTTATTGAAGGGGCCCCGTGGGGGCCCCCTTGTGTTGAACTATGAATGCATTGTTGGTTATAATTACAGTGGCTTAAAGAAGGGGGGCCCCTCTTTTTGTATTTTTGTTGCAGGGTTTATTAGCTGCGCATTTATGTTGGTTTTTGAGGGTACATCCGCATGCGAAGGGATGGGGCCTGGGGGCCCCCAACGCCTTAGAGGGGGGCCCCCTGGGGGCCCCCCTTTCTTTAAGGGGGGCCCCCCTAGGGACCCCTGTGGTGGTGGTTGGTGTATTAGATAAAGAAGGAGAGGCGCTGGGGCGTGAAGTTGAAAATTTATTTGAAGTGACTGTGAAGGTCCCCAGGCCTGATGAAGAGACAAGAGAAATGGTTAGAGACACCTGAGGAGACACCTGAGGAGACACCTGAGGAGACACCTGAGGACACACCTGAGGAGACAGGGAGGGGAAAAGAGACAAAAGGAGACAGCTTTTGGAGGCGCTTGCTGTCTCTTCTTTTTCTTTTTGTTTTTCAGGTCTTTCATCGTTTAAATGCAGCTTCAAAGGCCTTTTCGTTTTCAGACAAAGAGACAGAGACAAAGGCAGCCAGCGAATTTGCGGGGTGAGGCCTTCGTAGGGCCCCACCCATCTGCTGAGGTGCATGTACACCTCAAGCCCTGCATGCATGCATGCATGCAGCTGGTGGTGATCTCTTGCTGCTGCTGCTGCTGCTGCTGCGGCTGTAGGCTGACCAGTGGTCTGGCGCTTGGAGAGGTGCAGCGGATGTTCGGGTGTCTCCTCGAAGCAGCAGCAGCAACAGCAGCAGAAGCAGCAGCAGAAGCAGCAGAAGGAAGAGAGAACAAACGCAAGGGGCCCTCCGCAGGAGCTAGTGAAGAGGAGACAGACAAGAGACTGCTGGTGCTGAGCCAGCTGCTGAACCTCTCGCCTAAAGGTAAACCCTAAACCCTAAACCCTAAACCCTAAACCCTAGGGCCTCAGTGGGGGTGCTGCGCTTTCCCCTGAACGCCCGGGAGAGACCCTCGAACTAACAACCCCAAACCCTAAACCCTAAACCCTTGTTTGCACGTGGCTGTATTGTGTGAGGGTTTGCAGCGATGCGGCAACTGACGAAGCCCTTCATAGCGGGTCAGCCTCTCTCTCTTTGTCTCTGCTGCAGCAAACCCTAAACCCTAATTGTTCTCTGTCTCTGCTGCAGCTCTGCTGCACCTCGAGGCGCCGACAACAATTAGGGTTTAGGGTTTAGGGTTTAGGGTTTGATGTTCAGGGTTTAGGGTGTAGAGGTTTAAGCCTCAGAGTTCAGGGTTTAAGCTTCACGGTTTAAGCTTCACGGTTTAAGCTTCACGGTTTAAGCTTCAGGGTTTAAGCTTCAGGGTTTAGGGTTTAGGGTTTAGGGTTTAGGGTTTAGGGTTTGTGTTTTCAGAGGGGGGGGCCCCTGCATCGAACATATTGCCGGTGAGTTGGGAGGAGGTCGGGGGTATGGAGGCGGCGAAGGAAGAAATACATCAGATGATTTCTCTGCCTTTGAAACACCCCCAGCTATTCAATGGTGAGCAAGTAATAGCTAGCTAGCTAGCTAGCTGGTGGCTAGTTAGCTAGCTGGGTGGC